TGCTGACCAGCTTTTTGAAGATGCTGATTTCATTTTCCAGCAGGATTTGGCACCTGCCCACACTGCCAAAAACATGAGTTTCACAATTTGAGTTGAATTACTGAAATAAATGAACTTTTCCACGACGTCATCTGCCTCGCGAAGTTTGGATTTACTTTGACCTAAATGATCTTACTAAATGATCTGACAAAATGTAATTACTTCTGATAAAATGAATTAGTGAAACTGATTTATCATAATATCACCACCACAATGAGATGGTCAGTGGTTACATTATGTAACACTTGAGTTAAAAAGAAAAGTACCTTTCATTTGGTATTTAATCACTGGACTATCCAAAAAATACAGTAGGTATGAACTCATGGTCATTTAAATCGAAACAATGCCATCCATTGTATCTCAGCAAAAATAACTATTATGTGATATATATATATATATATATACAGTTGCTGTGATCTAGAATTACTCATATCGTCATATGTTTTTTGTGGTACTGCCCACCTCTACTACAAACGTAGGTTTGAATATAAAACTGTATTTCTGAAAGCACTAGCTCCACAGTGATATAAACCTTAATATTAGCAGAGGAAGTCAGGCTAACCAAAGAAAGACTCGCAGGCATTTCCGACAACAGAAATCGCATGAAATCCAAACACAGTCGAATGAGGAAAGACAGCTGTCCATCACTGCATTCATGACTGCAGGTAAGCGCAGCTGTACTCCGATTGAGCTGAGAAGAGAGCGCATCTGATAGCCAAATGATCTTGAGACATATATAAAGGTTCCTCGAGGGAGAGTGGTTTAACACAAAGCACTAAGAAACTGTTAGCACACATTATCTTTGTCAGCGCGTTCTTATTGTTATCAGACTGAGGAACAAACTTTCACCCGAGCATGTGGATATTATTGTTTCTCAGAATTAATACGTGAAACAATGTAAACACAATAAATATAGGCCGACTCGAGAATATGTAGCCTACGTTCTGTACTGTAATTGGCACAGTCTGCTTGATTTCTCCGTTTGCTCTGCTTGATCTTGAAGGAATCTTTTTTTATGTTTTTTTTTTGTTTACACATGTTTTCAACCAAAATAAAACCTTGTGATATAACGTAACGTTGTTGTAGAACATTGTTGTGTAACGGCTAATCATAAGCTTGTTCAGAAATCGTGACAAAAACTTGATAATTAAAAATAACGTCTTTCTCATTAAACCTAATTTAAATAAACGAATATCTTTCTCATTAAACCTAATTTAAATAAACGAATATTCGAATATTCGTTTTTTTATGAGCCCAAATATTCGAATAAAGGTTCCTCGAGGGAGAGTGGTTTAACACAAAGCACTAAGAAACTGTTAGCACACATTATCTTTGTCAGCGCGTTCTTATTGTTATCAGACTGAGGAACAAACTTTCACCCGAGCATGTGGATATTATTGTTTCTCAGAATTAATACGTGAAACGATGTAAACACAATAAATATAGGCCGACTCGAGTATATGTAGCCTACGTTCTGTACTGTAATTGGCACAGTCTGCTTGATTTCTCCGTTTGCTCTGCTTGATCTTGAAGGAATCTTTTTTTATGTTTTTTTTTTTTGTTTACACATGTTTTCAACCAAAATAAAACCTTGTGATATAACGTAACGTTGTTGTAGAACATTGTTGTGTAACGGCTAATCATAAGCTTGTTCAGAAATCGTGACAAAAACTTGATAATTAAAAATAACGTCTTTCTCATTAAACCTAATTTAAATAAACGAATATCTTTCTCATTAAACCTAATTTAAATAAACGAATATTCGAATATTCGTTTTTTTATGAGCCCAAATATTCGAATGCAATTTTTTGGGAAAATGCCCATCCCTAAAAGAATCCATCAAAAAATTGCCTACATGTTTCAAATGACCTAAAGGTGAGTAAATGGGTGAACTGTGGGTGATCATATTTATAACTTTAATATGTTATATGGTCAGTGGTGTGATTATTAATATAAATAATACCATTGGCATCAATGCATCACCAGCTTTACATTATGTAACACTTGAGTTAAAAAGAAAAGTACCTTTCATTTGGTATTTAATCACTGGACTATCCAAAAAATACAGTAGGTATGAACTCATGGTCATTTAAATCGAAACAATGATGCCAAAAACATGCTGCAATTCATAAGGGCTATTCTTCAATCTACCTGTGAATTAGGGGTGTCCTCTTTTACAGATACAAGTATGTATCTACAAGTTTGTTTGTGTTCTTGGTGCACTTGAGAGGAGCTATTATTAAGAGATACTGCATGAAAGATTATATTGTTTTATCAAATTCTTCAATATTGAACTTATCATAGATTATAGTCTATTTGAAGCAAAATATTTGTTTTAATTTCAACAAGCAGAACAAGCACATGTATGTGTTTCATCTATCTGTATTTTTTTGGTCAAAAAGTGAGAGGCACTTACTGTACTCAATTATTCCTAAAAGAGCAGCGTAAGAGGAAAAAAATTAAATTATATAAGATTAAAAATGGAAAAAAAATTTAAGCATAAAAATGAGTAAAAGATATACTGTTCAAATAAGGTTTGAGGTCAGTAAGACTTTTTGTTTTTGAAAATTAATACTTTTATTCAGCAAGGATGCATTAATTATTTATTTAAATTTCAAAGAAATGCTTTTGTATTCATCAAAGAATTCTGAAAAACAAAATGTACCGTGGTTTCCACAGAATATTAAGCAGCACAACTGTAACAATGATAATATTAAGAAATGTTTCTAGAGCAGCAAATCAGCATATTATACTGATTTCTGAAGGATCATGTGACACTGAAGACTGGAGTAATGATGCTGAAAATTCAGCTTTGCATCAGGAATAAATTACATTTGAAAATATATTGAAATAGAAAAGAGTTCATTTAAATTATAAAAATATTTCACAATATTATGGTTTTTACTGTATTTTTAAACAAATAAATGCAGTCTTGGTGGGCATAAGAGGCTTCTTTCAAGAACTAATTAAAATAATCGTACCGACCTCAAACTTCATATATAATATAGCATCATATATATTTGTTTTGTATAAATAACCAGACACACACATCAAGGTATATATATATATATATAATTTTAGAGTCATCCCAATAAATATCAATAAAGTCATACCACATGCTACAAGAGTAAATAAGCCGTTAAATAACTTACCATCATCCTCAATGAACGGTGGCTCTTTTTTTTTTTTTTTTTTTTTTTGCCATTTAATGAATCTTACCAAACCTAAACTGTTGAATGATAGTTCAAATGTGTAACGTACAAATATATATATATATAAATATATTTCTGTTGTGTGTGTAAAAGACAAGACATCACATCTTGGTGTCTGCATCAAAGTAAATTGATTTTATATACAGGTGCATCTCAATAAATTGGAGTGGCTTAACAAGATGAATACGACAACTGTAGCCAAATTCCTTGACACATTTGTGTGTGGTGGCTCTTGATGCCTTGACCCCAGCCTCGGTCCATTCCTTGTGAAGTTCACTCAAATTCTTGAATCGATTTTGCTTGAACAGTGCGGTTTCACAGTGCGGTTCTCTCGGTTGGTTGTGCATCTTTTTCTTCCACACTTTTTCCTTCCACTCAACTTTTTGTTAACATGCTTGGACACAGCACTCTGTGAACAGCCAGCTTCTTTGGCAATGAATGTTTGTGGCTTACCCTCCTTGTGAAGGGTGTCAATGATTGTCTTCTGGACAACTGTCAGATCAGCAGTCTTCCCCATGATTGTGTAGCCTAGTGAACCAAACTGAGAGACCATTTTGAAGACTCAGGAAACCTTTGCAGGTGTTTTGAGTTGATTAGCTGATTGGCATGTCACCATATTCTAATTTGCTGAGATAGTGATTTGGTGGGTTTTTGTTAAATGTGAGCCAAAATCACCACAATTAAAATAACCAAAGACTTAAACTACTTCAGTCTGTGTGCATTGAATTGATTTAATACACGAGTTTCACAATTTGAGTTGAATTACTGAAATAAATGAACTTTTCCACGACATTCTAATTTATTGAGATGCACCTGTACATGATTTCACAGACAATTGCATTTAAAATGCTTCTGTGAAAATAAAATGTCAAAATATGAGTGAGATAATGTTCCATCATCATTCATTGTAACAGATATATATGCACACAACATGAGATAATACTAAATGTTAAAATATTCTAAATGATTAAAATATTCTTGCTGACAAACGGGTAAAACCTAGTTTATTGTTTGAATAATAATAAAATAAAATATATAGATATAGTACAAATATATAATTTGAGCATGAGCAGAGGCCAAATTTCCAGATTTCTGTTCTCTTTTCACAACGACTCTCTTATGTATCTGGAATCAACACTATGGCAGCAAACGGATCTAATTTCATTACCTGCGAAATGACAATGTGTACAGATATGTCCTAAATGTCAGATTTAAACAGATCAGAATTTGGTGCCTAAATGTGCTTGGAAATACAAATCTCTTTTCCCTTTCCTTGTATGGAAAACCGGATCTCAGGCATTCAGGCTAACATCTCATTTTATGTTTCACAGATAAAATAAAAGAACATGTAACATGAGACTGATAACGGCGACAGACGACAAGAAGAGTGAGTAAATGATGATCAATTTTAATTCCTTTAATGTAAGTTAAAGGCTCAAAGACTCACTTTTTGTGAAATGCAAAGATTTCTTAACAATGGAGTTATTGTCAAGTCAAAAGAAGGTCCACTGTTATGTTAATATACACATTATGGTCATAAATTGGGTCTCTGAAGAAAAACGGACAGAGGAGAAATTGACGGAAGGACAGCTCGTAATCTTGCTGTCACAGACTGTATATTATTGTACACTACTCAAAGGTAAACTGCATGCAAACGTCTTGTCCGACACTGCGCATTTGTTTGTCATTCAAATGAGAAGGCATCATTATTGTCAGCTGCCTTCTCTCGCCGAAGTGATTTGTGCTTGGCTGACTGATGAGACTAGACGAGAGATATATCCCTCCTGTAGAGCGCCTCGGCACACATCCCGCCTAAACAGATGACATGTGTTTTAGAATCAGCATGCAGCAGCACCCTTGCTCTCGGCCTGTCTGCTCTCGCTACTGCATGAGGCCTGTCATTTAGAGAGTCCTGCTGCAATCCCACCAGGAGAGAGAAAGTGAACGGGAGGGATGTGCATCCCATATGTGCCTCTCATATTCCGGAGCTTTTGATCGGAATGCTAAAATCCAACTGGTGCACTTTTCATTAGCATTATTAATGCAGCTCAGTGGAACAGGGCCAAACCTTTTGGCTTTGTTGACTCTGCACCCAATTGTGATGATGTTTCTCAAATCCGATCTTTAGGACTAATTGTCCATGCTGTCAGGTAAGAAAGCACATTTGTCTGTTCTGACATTATAGTCAAGAACTGGTCTACAGTGGCTACCATTAAAAAAATTAAATAAAATATTTAATGGAATTGCGATTAATCACATCCAAAATAAAAGTTTGTGTTTACATAATAAATGTGTGTGTACCGTGTATTTTTGTATGTATATTTTTAACTTTATTTTATATATTAAATATAATTTCATTAATTTGTCAAATATAAATTTTCACTTCATTAAATTATTTTATTTTATTCATATTTCATACACACATTTTAATATATAAAATAAATGTAAAATACATTTATATACAGAAATGTAATATTTATTTAATATTTTATTTAAAATAAAAAATAAATTCATATAAAATATTTAAATAGAAAAATTAATTAATTTATTATTCATTTTCTAAATTTAATTTTTAATACAGACATACACACACACACACACACACACACACACACACACACACACACACATATATATATATATATATATATATATATAGTATACACGCACACAAATTATATACAATATATAATAATATAATATACAATATTTACTTGATTGAACACCAAATATTAACAGGATAATAACCTAAATATAATATAATTAGCTATATAAAGGTTTTATAAGTCATCAGAAATCAGTACTCACTCTTACTTAATAAAGACAAGACCATGTACTTGGTTATCAAAACCAAACTTGATAGTTTTTCCACTCAGCGCCTGTATGTCCTGCCAATGTCATTTCAATTTAACGTCAAAGTCATTAGTCAGCAGAGTGATCAAATGTAATGCTTTTCATCTACACACTGTCTTAAAATCATGTGCTGTTTAATGAGCATAATGATGCCTGAGTGTCAGATCATATCTGAGTCCTAAAACATTAATGCCATCAAAAGTGCTCCATTCCTTCCTATTAAAACGTAGAAAAGTTGCAGAGATGTTTCGGATTCAATCCTGCCTCTGGCTAATTCTCATCCTATAGCTGTTTAACCCAGTTTAACACGGTGCAGTGCAGGTCTATTTTTATGTATGCATCACAACCTAACGCCTTCCCTAAACACACGCGCACCCTCTGATTAAATTAACACAAAGACTTACAGGTTCAGAGCTGTTAATTGCTGTATCAATTCATTTAGTACCTTGTTCTATTTTAAACGTGTCCATACAGTTATTTCTTCATAAGAGAGTAAGGTGTTATGTGTTAAAATTTGCAACATCAGTAAATGTATTTTTAAGGTGACATCTGAATAAGGATTCACAGACTATGTTAAATAAAATGGCATGAATAACAATTATTCACCGTTTGTTTTTGTTTTTTTTACAGACTTTTACTTTTTTAATAAACCAAAACCCTAAAACTGAAAGTAAAATACATTATCATACCAAATATAATTCTCATCCTATAGCTGTTTAACCCAGTTTAACACGGTGCAGTGCAGGTCTATTTTTATGTATGCATCACAACCTAACGCCTTCCCTAAACACACGCGCACCCTCTGATTAAATTAACACAAAGACTTACAGGTTCAGAGCTGTTAATTGCTGTATCAATTCATTTAGTACCTTGTTCTATTTTAAACGTGTCCATACAGTTATTTCTTCATAAGAGAGTAAGGTGTTATGTGTTAAAATTTGCAACATCAGTAAATGTATTTTTAAGGTGACATCTGAATAAGGATTCACAGACTATGTTAAATAAAATGGCATGAATAACAATTATTCACCATTTGTTTGGGTTTTTTTACAGACTTTTACTTTTTTAATAAACCAAAACCCTAAAACTGAAAGTAAAATACATTATCATACCAAATGCTAGTTTGATTCAGTCTGATTTGCCAGTCAGATGGACTGATTTATTAAAACGAATCAATTGAGTGATTCATTTACTAACTTCACAGCACTTTGCACTGTATTTTTGTTGCATGTGTAGTCAGCCAGGGCTACACAACAGTCATGTTTATCTATATATTTGAAGCATACATACTCTCTTTGCATACAGTTCACAAGCTCTTAACTAGGCAAAAATATATAATATTTTTGCAGTGCCGCTGCAGATTCAGAAAACACTGCTGATATCTTGACCTCTCATTTTGTCTGTAAAATGAAGCCATTCTTAGCACACCTGCAGCAATTACAGGATGCAGATTAAATACCATAAAAATTAAAGTACATTCAACTTATTTTGCAGTGGTTAAATGAAAAGCTTCAGTGTGTTTCTTAAAGCTGAAAGTGTTACACGTTCTGCAGCAAATGTTAAAGGTAATGTTAAAAAGAAAATAACAGACTTTTCTTTTTGTAACTGTGATTTTCTTTTTTTGAGTTGTGTATTATTTTAATTGTGTTATTTAATTTTTATCAAATTAAAAACTAGGTCCCTATATTGGAATCAGAGTTACTTAATTTCAGAATCAGAAAGAAAAAAAAATTGCATCAGACATAATCATGACCAATCAATATTTACAGTAAATTACTGATCATTCTTGTCACTTTAGTATACTTGTGCACATCCGTATTAATAGTAATATATATTACAGGTAGCTAGTGTTATGTGTAATGCTTAAAATAAAAAAAATTATAATAAATTCATTAAACATTTTACCTTTGGGGATTTAAGACAAGTGTGAAGCTATCCTAACTTTAACAGGTTAATTACAATTATTTTTAAGAATATTCTTTTTAAGAATTCAAATTCCTCTTAGGTATTCAAAAATTTGCCTTTAGAATCTTAAAAAAGGAAGAATGATCTGGCTTCTGATTGCTAAAAGTACTAGCATACCTTTTCTCACCAAGCCACATCATTTGATGTATCATTGCAGTATGAGCAATAGCAAACACCATTAAGTATGAGATATGAAAACCTGTAATAAGCACTATATACGTACATAACACAGCCAGCTGAAGAGACACGTTGGTCATCCCGACCACATTCTCAGAGATGCAGGTCAGAACAAACCCATTGTCGTCTCTGCTCACGTTGACCAGCGTCAGGTTGATGGAGTGGATGTTGGGCCAGTAGACATTTGACTGGAGGGCAGGCCAGAAACATTATGCTATGGTTAGACTGAAAAGAAGGTTAAACGGTGTGTTTGGTGTGGGATGAATGGCGTTCACCTGGTGCGTGTTGATGGAGTGAAGGCCGTTCACAGTCCAGTCCACCTCAGGTACCGGAAACCCAGAGCCGTTACAGCTGAGCATCACGTTACCACCCTCCAGCACAGTCAGGTTACTGTGAGCAACGCTGATATCTGGCAGGTCTAGATCACAACAATGACTATTATGTACATTACTTAACCCCTTAGCTGTCAAAGAGCGGCAACGGCCCAGATTATTGTTGTTTCACTTTAACAGCACGTTAAAACATCACACTCTTACTGGATCTGGACAAACTGTGCATCAGTAGAAAGATTAAAGACTCTAGCTTCGATATTTGACCACTGTTTTGATAAAACATTGTTGCAGTGACAGTAATTTAGTCATTTATGTCAGGAGTGCAAAATAATAAATCTGTATGTGTCATTTTTAGAATAGAAATTCACCATTCATTCATATTCAGTCACGTCTGCAGCGGTTTATTTGTGTTCACATAGCTTCACTGAACAGCGAAAATAAGGGCTTATAGTCCAAAGGTGCATATACATGGAGATATATAGATATATTTACTCATGTTTACTTCATATTTCTTCAGACAGAATCATAATTTCTATTCATTTTCCACTGATTTATGCGATATGATGATAATTAGCCGCTCCTTGGGCTGTTACAATAATTTGTTTACAAGAATTTACCATAATAACCACAGTTTCTGCCAAAATACTTCCTAAAACAGATTTTTACCACTGTAAGCCCATAAGCCCATAATTAATTAATTGGAATGCTATATGATGTAAACCTTCTGAATTTTGAGTATTTCAGTCTTTTTGTTTGCTCATACCATAACAGGAGGTGTAAAGTATGGCTAGCATGGTCATTAGTTGTAATCAATCAATCATCAATCATTTTCGATGTACTATTACAGTATATATACACATTATAAAGTGCTGTTTTACGTTTTACGTAAATTTTCCAGAAACTGATTAACTATATCACTATATAGTATGATATATAACTATATCGGTGTTGTAACTACACAACCAAACCATTAAAAATTATTTTTGTTAACTGAAATAAAGCTTTAAAAAACAACAACATGTAACCCTTACCTTTGCAGCAAACTGAAATAAATACATTTAAATTGAAGTACTAAAATAAAAATAAATATATTTTTTTAAAGAAATATATACAATAAATGAATTATATAAATGACAAAGTATTTAATTACTGAAACTGATATTGTTATATCTGTTTTCATTTTAATTTAATGTAAAATATCAATAAATACTGTAATGCTTTATAAATAATATCAAAATGACACTGATCTATAAAATATGGCCACATATACGTGACTTAATTGCAATAATTTGGGGAAGACCTTAACCCTAAAACTGGCAATTTACCAACATGTATGATTTAGATTTTTAGACATGAAAGGCTACAATTCATAAAATAAATAAGTGCTACATGTTCAAAGCCAAAACATGGTGCTGTTGCGCATTCTACATCGCGGTTTCAGAGCAGCTCGCAATCAGTGAATACCGTGCATTTATGCACATTTAACACATGATGAATTGCGACACAGTGTTTAGTTTATGGTATTTGAACGAGCAGCCAGAAATAGTAAAGTATAGACGTTTCAAAATAACAGTCCTGGTGCATTTCAGGCTCGTTTATAATAAAAAATTCTGCGTTGTGGCGAATAGTTTTCCGGTGTCATATAGGTATTCTGGTTACAAAAATGTAAAAAAAAAAGAAAAATGGTTAAATTCTTAAACTATAGGAATACAGGTATTGTATTATAATAAACTAAAAAAAATGTCTTGTAAAAATCTCCTTATGTTCTTTTATTAAGGAAAAACACACTCCTAAGAATTTCAGTTTTTCAGCTCGTTATTTTTACATTTTAATAATAATTCACAATATTACTCAAGTAAATACAGCCTTGGTGAGCATAACATACATCTCTCAAAATCATTTTTTAAAAATCTTGCCCACCCCAAACTTGGTAGTGAAAATATAGTTTAGGAAATTGCCTCTTTAAGAAGAATCACTTTATGTATTCCACAATTGTAAGTCGCTTTGGATAAAAGCGTCTGCAAAATGACTAAATGTAAATAGTTCCAATCCTGGGTGCATCATTATTTGATTTACATAGAAACATTCTGTTGTGTCAAGGATAATGTTACATTATATAAGAAATATTATTTATATGTACAATACATATAAATTACATAACATACTTTCTAAAACTAATGGACTCTTCAATGAAGTGCATATTATGCTGAAAAATAAGAATGTGATAACACTTATCTGTACTTGGTGTGCGGACACTGATTACTGGAACAATACAACATTTCACTTTGTGAAAAACAAAGTTTTTCGCAGTGGCTGAATGGAAAGAAAGATGAGGCACTCACAACGTGATGAACTGTATATCATTACCCACAGGCTTTGATCTCAGCGTGAAACTTCAGTCCATTAATCTGTATGCTCGGGTTAGAAAATACACTACTGTATGTTTTCAGAGCCCTTCGTTATTTTGCAAATCCCTTTCTGCAAATCTCCAGGAGTCAGGTCACCCGCAAGAACAAACGCTTCTGTAACACGTGGAATGAGCTGACAGGCAGAATCACCAAAATGATTTGAATGTAATTCTGACAGAAATGTGACAGAGTTTGTTCATGAAGTAAACTAAGAAGTTGCGAGAGAGTCTATCAACAGCAACAAAAAAAAGATGCGTTTTGTTTTCTATATAATTACACGTGCTTTGAGCTTAAACTCAGACATCATTTACACTGCCAGGAATAACCCAGCGGTGGCCAACGGGGGGCCTGACTATCATCAACGGTGATTGACAGCCCATAACATGATTATGCGTGTGCACCTGAAAGCTATTGAGAAATGAAATTGTAAGATGCATAGAACTCTTCGGAATGTAATGGGATCATTGTCTTTTTGAAGAATAAAACAAAACATTGTGGTGCTTTAAAGCAGTGGGTCTGGTTTCGCTTCAGAATCCAGATTTTACAATTGGAGACCCAAAAGAATACCAACATTGTTTAAAAGTAAACAAAAACATATTTAAACATATTTGTTGTTGTGGTTTATTATTTGTTTTCTGCATTTCAGAATTTTCATGGTTTCTTCTGCTATTCATGACCCCATCAGAACAGACCTGTGACCCACCAGTTGAGAATCGCTGTCCTAACGGATAAAGTCTAAATTCTCAATTCTTTTTCCAAACCCTCAGGCTGATATTATATTACAATGACTGTTAGGATGGATTCACTGGGTCTGAAAATCAATAATGCCCGTGAATCTCATCTAGCTTTGAAGATTACACCATTATTACAGCACCACAGCAACAGAACTGATACCAGTCTACACCATTTATCTCCATAATACATGCAATTTGTTCAGTGAAGTTCAAATTTGTTTGTTTACAAACTATGTTCAGTGGAAATAAATGCAGATTTTCCAGTTGTTCTTTCCTATGCTTTTTGCTTTTACTTTCCTCTATTCAGCCATACATCCATTTAATCTAAAATGATACACACACACATTTTGATATATATATATTTTTTGCTACATTAGTGAAAATTTGTCTCTCTTTTACTTTTTGTATCAAACATTTTGAATCTAATTGGCTATAATGACTGTTTTGCTGAAAGGATGGCTCTTGTGATTGAAAAAAACAAGCAAGTTAATATTTTCTATCATATATGCGTTATTATTTATTTATTTTCCTTTCAATAAAAGGAACTTTAATTTCAACCCAAGAGTCATATTGAATATTGTCAAAACAACAGGCTGAAAAATTGAGCTATAATCCGTAACCCCCAGCCCATCTTGATGTCACTTCCTTTGAAAAAAAGGAAGTACTCACTCATTCAGACAGAGGAGACACTCAGACCATATGCTGATTAAGTATGTCTGCAAATGTTTGTGTACTAAGTGTCCTTGAAGACAATTACTTTGTCGGATTTATTGCAATGCATTCTTTTATTTTAATTTTAAGTGCAGTTTAACTGTATGATCAATCATTTTGATGACATGTCATGCCAGTGGTGAATGTTTCACCAGTCACTTTCAGATAATACAGGACAGCAAGAACATTACGATTGGTACGATTGGAACTCTGAAACATCATTTTAAACTGACAAATCATGCACATATTCCTAGACATTTAAAGAAATAGTTCAACCCAAAAAGAAATAAAAAATCTGTCATCATTTACTCACGCTCATGTTGTTTACTTTCTGCTGCAGGACACAAGAGAAGCTATTCTGAAGAACATTGGGGCCCAAACAACATAGGAAAAAAACATACAGTTTTAATACAACATGGGGGTGAGTAAATGATGACAGTTTTCATTTTGGGGTGAATTATAATTATTGTCTTGCTACTATCCCTTTAACATTGCAAATTTAAAAGCAACATTTGCATATAACCTGTTTAATTTTATAAACTAAACTCTTTCTGGCTGTCGGTTCTGGCATTGTTTGGAAATGTTTAATGTAAAGGTATTATGTACACTGCAAGTTGGCTGTTATGGAAGCATATAGGTAGCGAAATTAAATTTTTGAAATGCAAAATGCAAAATGGCAATGCAATATTCAAAATGGCATTGTATTTCTGTATTTAAATTTACATTTTCCATTACCCATACGTGCAAAGTTTGGTGCAAAAGTAAAATGAAAATGAAATTATATAATTTACATTTGCCATTTCCAACAGTAGTCTTAATATGTAAATTGCATGCACATATGAACGCTTTATAAGTTGCGAAATGAAAATGAAAATGAAAATGTATAACGCAAATTGATTTGGTATGTGTAACATGTTCAAGCAGAAGAAATATATGAAGCGTATTCCATGCTAAAATCAAACGTTCGAATGACCGACCGATCGAACGTCTAACTGAACATCTTGAGCTTTGAGCGTCTTACACTGGCTGGTGACCGACATGACGTCAGCTAACTGTTAGTCTAAATGCATTTAGGACAAATAGCATTTAAATGATCATTTTGCTACCATTTCTGCTTGAACATGTTACACACATCAAATCAATTTGTGTTATACATTTTCATTTTCATTTCGCAACTTATAAAGCGTTCAAATGTGCATGTAATTTACATATTAAGACTACTGTTGGAAATGGCAAATGTAAATTATATAATTTAATTTTCATTTTACTTTTGCACCAAACTTTGCACGTATGAGTAATGGAAAATGTAAATTTAAATACAGAAATACAATGCCATTTTGAATATTGCGTTGCCATTTTGAATATTGCATTGCCATTTTGCATATTGCATTTTAAATTGAATTTCGCTACCTATATGCTTCCATAGGCTGTGCAGTAGAAACACAAATTATTTTTTAAAATCGATTCTACATGACTAGACAAAACAAAGAAAAAGGGAAAAATTAATAATGTATAATGTGTATAAACACCCATAATGCATTGGGCTTGATCAGACTATGTGAGTGGGGATACAAAAATCTGCATTTTTCACAAAAGCCCTGAAGCTGTTGAAAAGTCCACTGGATGAAGGGTTTGTGTCATCTGGTGGAATTCTACTGACAAATAAACATGGATATCTTGGTGCAGGTCACTTGGGAAAATAATAAACATTGTTCATTTACAAAATTGGTGGAGATTCTTAACGTACTGTAATTTACTAGGGATTTTACTAAAAAAAACAATAACAAAAGAGCTGACTGGAAAAACTAGAAAGATTTACATTGAATATAGAACTTTCATAAATTTTTACATTTGAAAATTATAATTTCCCTGACATTTACAAATGATTCCATATGAGTTATTTCTGTAAGTGGCCCTAATAGCACATAGAGGTGCAATTGAACACTTATTAAATTCAGTACTAAAATATCTTCCAGTTTAGCACTAAACTTTGCTCAAATTATCTCTAAAGCACCCACCTTGTAAATATGCCTAATTCACCATAATGGTGAACACAAATCAGATTTTGGTAAAACAATTTTTGTTTTTGAGGACAAATGACATGTGTTGTTTAAATCATCATCTACAATAAAGGTATTACACTCTTAAAAATAAAGGTGCTTAAAAAGTTCTTCACAGCGATGCCATTGAAGAACCATTTTTGGTTCCACAGAGAACCATTGAGTCAAAGGTTCTTTAAAGAACCATCTCTTTCTTACCTTTTTATAATCTGAAGAACCTTCTTTCGCCCCAAAGAAACTTTTGTGAAACAGAAAGGTTCTTCAGATGTTAAAGGTTCTTTATAGAACCATTTAGACAAAAAAAGGTTCTTTTATGGCATTGTGAAGCACCTTTATTTTTAAGAGTGAATGTGCACTACAACAGTGATATAATTTAAGAAAAGTTCCCACACCTTCTTATTATCCAATAAATTCACTTCACAGTCATTCATCATTAATAGATAAAGCTTCTAATCATAATTTACTGTAGATTTCACTCATTAAAAACAATAACAAACGAACTAACAGGAGTAACTAGACACTTTAACATTCATTATAAAAATGTCTGTGACATTCATTCATTTCTACATCTTTCCCAGGTCTGAATATTATAATTTTCCTGATATTTACAAGTCATTCCTTACAGAGTTATTCCAGTAATGGCCTAAAATCAAAGAATCACACAAAACAGAACTTGAGCCAGGTTGATCTTTTTATATTGTCTCATAATGGCACATTTTAGAGGTGCAGTTGAACACTTATTAAATTCAGTACTAAATTATCTTGCATTTTAGCAAGATTATCCTGCATTTTAGCACTGAACTGTGCTGAAATTATCTCTAAAGCACCCACCTGGTAAATATGCCTAATTCACCATAACAGTTAACACAAATCAGATTCTGGTAAAACTAATTTCCTGGAGGACAGATTTTGACAAATGACATGCGTTTTTTATATCATCCACAATATCCACAGGAGGGAGGACGGGAAAAGACAGCAATGCACACGGTCCCAAAATCCCCCAACACATTCTGAATTGAAAGGCCAGAAATGTGCATAATAAAAAATTAAGCAGGACATATGTCAGCGGCTCTGCAAGTTGTGTTCAGCCACAGCGAAGAGCGAGGACAGGACGTGTCAAATTCAAAATAATTTAACTGTTTTGTCATTTTAAGCGCAACATGAAGACACCACATCGTCGCTCACAATCAATAAACAAACTCATCACTTTATGTGCATGCATATTGCTCAAATATTCATGACAAACAAGAAAATGAGGTCAGGCTCCCAGCAGACAAGACCAATACATTTCACTGCCATGTCTTAATTAACCGACTGTTCGCAGACATGTAAAAAGTGTCTCTGCTTCATCACCGGAGATGTTTTGCTTTGACAGACACACAAGTCTATCGGAGGATGGGAGCAGGGGGCACATAAACTAATTAGTTGACAGTAAAGTGCTGAAAACATTTCTAATGAACACAACAATGCGATCGAGCATCAAGCCTGGATTTCAGCATCCAATTTAGCAGGCGAGTGCTGCTTATCATAGAAAATCTACACAGAGAGAGTTTTAAGGAATTATTGCTTGGTGTGTTTTTTTAATACTGCGATTTGGCAATTGAATGCATGCAGTTATCTCACTTTTGGAAATACTATTAACTAATGCAGGATGAACTTACAGTTCGACCAGCTGAAGGTGCTGAAAAAGCTGCCAAGAGAGTGTTGTCAGAGGGTTCTTGGACAAGTTTCTGTGCAAGGAGACAAGAAAGAGGAACAGCAATTTATGATTTAGCTGTGAACACAGGAAGCAATAAAATCAACATAACATAAGGCTTGTGACACATTTTACACCCAAAATGTGATATTTCCTGTGAGATTTGTGACATCGGCTGAAAAAGAGAGAAAGATGAAGCAAATTTGTACATTTTAATGAAAGATTATGAAGATTTTTTTTTCTGTATTTTCAAGAACATGCTCTGAATTATGCACAATACGACTAGAGACACATCAATTTTGATTTCATGTTGACCTTAAAAATATAATAAATTGTTTAACATGTTTTTTTCCCAATTTAAAGGGGTCATATGATGCGCGCTCCTTCGTCGAATCCGCCGCCTCTGCTCACTCTAGCCCTCCGGTCGTTCCTCACTTTAGCCCCCGGCCTCTGCTCACTCACGCCGTGTGTGACGCTGTGTTTCGTTGTGAAAGTGAAACTACTTTGTTTGCCTTCCAAAAATGGACACGACTAGAAATCAGTGGTTAAGTTGTATTTACAACACTGTTCCAGAACACTTCAACCCAAATATTCAGATGTGTGCAGCACATTTTATGGAGGACCGTTTCCTGATCCTGGGAGAGTAGACTACAATGCCGGCTGTTCTGATTCAAAGACTGTAAGTAAGTTTTATATATTTAAAGAGTTTTTATATTTTATATATTTTAAGCAAGTTTGTTGGGCAGTGTAGAGTAGGGCTTGTTGTTTGTCATTTCTCCGATCACAAATGCAGACATGGTTTTATGTTTACGCGGCGCGATGCAACGCAACGCGCAAAAAGACAGTATAAGTCATTATAATCCATAATTATGTCCCCACTGGATGCAACGAATGCCTCGTTTATAATGGGTTTTCATGTTTTTGAATCATCGCTCCGGCCTGACAGGGCATTATCACAATATGGTAAGGGGCGTAACATTTCCGTCACACGCTTGAGGTATTTGGCCAATCACAACGCACTGGATAGCTGGCCAATCACAGCACACCTCGCTTTTTTAGAATGATGAGCTTTGTAAAAATCGACGCGTTTCAGAAAGGCGGGGCATAGAGGAGAAACAATAATGTACAGTATGTGGAAAATAATGTGTTTTTTTAACCTTAAACCACATAAACACATTTCATTACACCAAATACACAAAATAATGTTCTTTTTAGCAGCATCATATGACCCCTTTAAGACAAATGAACACTGGTAAACAATTTTTTGAGGGGACACTACATGATCATAACGCATTTTATCTACAATAGGATAGAATAGAATAAAAAGAAAAAAAAACTTTTTGCAGGAAAAAGGAAATTAATTTATCTTAATTTTCGACATACATGTTAATTGGATAGTTCGTCCAAAAATGAAAATGGTTATCATTGACTCATCCTCAAGTTGTTTCAAACCTGTATGAGTTTCTTTCTTCTGCTGAACATAAAAGAAGATATTTTGAAGAATGTTGGTGCTGGTAGCCATTGACTTCCATAATACAGAAAACGTCCATAGTTTGGTTACCAATATTCTTCAAAATATCGTCTTTTGTGTGTTGCAAAAGATCAAAACTCTTACAGGTTTGGAACAACTTGTGGATGAGCAAATAATGACAGAATTTGTTGAACTTTGTTTTTTATTTATATTCACTGTATTAAACTGAGTAGATTTCAGTATATTCAAATCTGTATTTCAGTAAACCGAAAGACCTGTTAATGTTTAATGTTCTATTATGTATGTTTCTGTAGAGTTCCTATATTTAGCACAACACATGAACAAGCAGCACTATTAGCACAGCTATTATCCATTATAATATACATTATAGTATTCATTCAAAGCCACACAACCACGAGCTCTACTCTTCAGCACAATGGTAAACAGCAGAATTGACCTCTCGTTTATTTATTAATTTCTTTATTTTTTTTCTGCGACTAATGAAATTTTGGTCGACCAAGCCTCTTCTAGTCGACTATTAGGGGGCAGCCCTAAACATTAACATGTCATTCTGTTTACTCAAAAACATTAAAAAGCACTTCATTTGCACATTTATTCTCCTGATTCAGCCCTACGCAAAGTGTGCTGGGAACTAAAAATTGACTGCCCTTTTGAGTTGAAGAAACTCAAATGATTTTTGTAGTCCCAAAACAAATGGATGAAGTAAATAATTTTATTGTTCAAAAGTTTGGGGTCAGTTAGATGTTTTATTTTGAAATAAATTAATACTTTTATTCTGCAAAATGCATTGAATTGATCAAAAGTAACCTTTTTGAACAGAAATGCTGTTCTTTTGAACGTTCTGTTCATCAAATAATCCTTAAAAATATGAATCACGGTTTCCACAAAAATGTTACGTAACTGTTTTCAACATGGCTAATAATAAATGTTTCTTGAGCAGCAAATCGGTATATTAGAATGATTTCTGAAGGATCATGTGACACTGAAGACTGGAGTAATGATGCTGAAAATTCAGGTTTGCATCACAGGAATACATTACATTTTAAATTATATTAAAATAGAAAACAGCTACTTTTAATTGTAATAATATTTCACAATATTACTGTTTTTACTGTATTTTTGGTCAAATAAATGCAGCCTTGATGAGCAGAAGAGACTTTCAAATACATCGAAAATGTGCAAAATTAGTCAAACACTGTACATTTTAGTCAGATAGTGTACATATGCTAAAAAAATTATTAGACACACCAATATAAAGAGCAAGAAAAAGTGTTCCACAAATACTAATTCAGTGAACACGTTCTGTGAAACACAACATTAACGAAAGAGTTAACATGAGAGAGAAGCACTTTATGCAACAGGAAATCAGAGAGAGCCTCCATCACTGCCAAGAGGAGCTGAGAGAAAAGGAGCAGCTGCAGGGGCCGCTCAGCCAAATCAATATAGAGAACTTGAGCAGTTCACCGTCTACAAATTCAGTAGACGCAATGAAAGACTGCAGGTTTTAAAAGCCAACAAATTTAATACAAAGAGGTGGTCTGGGACTTGTAAATGGCATTTAACCAACAAAGCCAAAGGCATGATATGTGGTAGGGAGCATTAAATAAATCCACTGGTTATAAAGAAAGATGGACATCTGTGATATGGAGAAAAAATAGAACGGACGTCATAGAATGAGTGTAATTCGACTTAAATCATATTAAGCATCAGTATTTGGGCAAAATGGTAATATAATAATTTTTATCAATGCATTTGTTTTAGATTTCAGTGCAAAATATGGTTATAAATGATCCATGATCTGAAACCTTTTGGTAGATCTGTTCCTGTCTATCTCAAATATATAAAATAATACATTTAGGGAAGCACTCAGAAAAAAACGTATAGCCTTTATGTTTCCCTCAGAAAAGAGGACTTATAGAGACAGAGCACATTTAGGCCACACCCACACCTGGGGGGGGGCACGACAATCCAACGCTCTCCATTGACTTTGTATTGGGGGAAGCTGCCTCCTTGTCATTTCTGACTTATAACAAAAAACAGAACAATCCCTAAAAGCTGCTATGTGACAAGAAAAAATGCTCGTTTTTTGGGGGATCGACAGCTTATAAAAATGTAGTTCTGGGTTTTTTAGCTTGTTTACTGTACACCTTGTAACATAGCAGCTTTTAGGGATTGTTCTGTTTTTTTGTTATAAGTCAGAAATGACAAGGAGGCAGCTTCCCGCAATACAAAGTCAATGGAGAGGGTTGGATTGTTTCCCCCGATGAGCGTGGTTTTCAGATTATCTCGTTTATCGGTCAATTCTGTGAAAAGATAATGTTTTATCCTTCACAAAGCATCTGGTTCAGTGTTTCAAAAGTTCCACTTTCCTATAAAATAAGCACCAATAAAATGACCATCAATATTACGGTTCAAAATTTTGGGGTCAAGATATTTTTAAATGAATTAATACTTTTAATCAACAAGGATGCATTCAATTGATCAAAAGTGAAAGTAAAGACTTTTATAATCTAACAAAGGATTTATTTTTCAAATAAATGCTGTTATTTTTTAAACTTTCTATTGATCAAACCTTTCTGAAAAAGAGAACCACTGGACTTGTTGGTGGGCTCTTTTGACTAACTACCTAGCAACCACATAGTATTTTTGCTCTAGAAATCTGCTCTAGAGAAACACACAGTTGTAAGATGGCTGGAGTGATGGATGCATATCTTATAAGAAGCTATTTTGACTAGACGACTGGCGTATTCTCAGGGTCATTAGAAACTCTTATGAGTTTTATAACAAGCACTGCTGGCTGCCAAAGACAGTCGCCATAGCAACAAGCTCTCTGAAGCGGCCTGATGCAGGGGGAGGGGTTTTGTTGCCTCTGTGTGCTTTAAAGTGTCAACACCCACAACATACACTCAAAAACACACACGCGTACACTCTGACTGAGGCCTTTGAGCATTAGTCCGTTTTTTTATTTGAAACTCATAGTAATTCAACCATTCAGTTTCTGCTTCAAGAGCTTCTGATGGAGTCTTATTAAAATGTGTTGCATAAGTCAATCTATGTAATTGCACATCTTTGTGGGTGTTACTTAAAGGTGAAGCATATTAAAGTGCACTTTTTTCTGTTAAAAATGTTTTTAAAATATTTTTCAGTAGTCTGTTTCAGGAGTCTGTGGTGCTATCAAAAAAACACCCTGACATGGCAACACAGGATCAATATGATGATACTCAGAGCAGTAACTGATTACATGTAATCTGTATTACGTAATTCCAAAAAATAAGTACTTGTAATTAGATTAAATTGCATTTTTAAATACTTGGAATCAGACTACAGTTATTCACATATTACACTACATATTATTCACTCCCAATAGCAATAAATTATTCATAATTGATTGGTTCTCCCTAAATCTTCTTTTTCATCTTTTAAATACATTTGCTTTTCAGTAAACTCATAAACCCCCTGCAGTTCCTAAAGTTTGGGAAACCTTGACATAAATAATATTTAATGCACGTCACGTTGTCAGTGACAACAAATGGAATATATTT